CACAAGTTAATATTTGCCTTGTTGGTTCCTGCACATGGAAATTCCTGACAAATATTTTTTTTTCTCTTTGTTTAAAGACATTTAAGTTGTTACATTATCAGACTGAATGTGAATTTCAAGTGCTTTCTTTATGATCTGGGGCAGAATAATGTGTTTTGAACTAGAATGAGCCCTGCAGCACTCACTGCATTTTTGCTCCCCCTTGGTGGCCCTGCACTACTCATCCTGCAGAATGACTGAAAAAAAATAAAAATAAATCTGATTAAGCATTAAAAAACAAAGGGGGACTGGGGTTAAGGACATAAATGGGCAGTGGTAACAAAGCAAACCAGAGTTTTCTTCTATCCTTTTCATAATGGCCCAGAAATTACTACTACAAATAATAATAACAATAATTTTAAATGCCAGTTAAAAATCAGTAGGCAGTCCTGGTTTAAGGAGATAACAAAAAGAAGCATAAGGCATGGGGAAGAAGATTTAAAAATCCACTTGGCAAGAATAGCGTTTTAGGCAGACTTTGCACAGACTTCTTTCTTAGTAATGGGGGGAAAATTATCAAATCTAGGGGGATAATCATATTTAAAGGGGTTGGTTTTTATGTTGTGGTTTGAGGTTTTTGGCTGGGTTTTTGATTAATTGGTTGGGGTTTTCTTGTTTTGACGGGCAGCTAAAGAATGAAGCCAGAGAGAGGAGTCCTATTGTCAGGAACTGCTAATTCCTTTAAGCTTTTGTCCTTGAGCACTGTGAGTCTTTGAGATTCTTTGAAAACATTTGCTGTAAATCATCATTAAAACAGATCATCATAAACAGAAGGAAGTAATAATTCTAAGGACCTGTATAATAATAAAGACATAAAATGTTAAGTAACTTAATTTGCAGCTCTGCTGACAGCAGGAGTCCATCAGCTGGAAATTGAGAAAGGGAAACCTCTGATGGCTCATCAGATAGCTGTAGGCTGCCCCTGGACCACCAGCATGAGACTCCTATAAAAAAGAAAAAACCCTCCAAAAGGGATCAGGAAAGGAGATAGGGAAGTACTGAAAGTCATGGTGAGAGTTCACTTGAAGGAGTTGCTTCTGTCAGCTGGTGTTTAGCTCAACTTCTCCTCCTGTCTCTTGGGGAAAGGTGTGATTAGCAAGGGCACAAGAGCATCTCAGTCTAGATGGCCCCAAATATGTCAAGTCTGAACTCAGAAACACGAATATAATACCCATAATATACTGCAGTCCATGATATTATTGAGCAGTTTAACATAGCCCAGGAGGCCCAGATCTGGAGTCTCAGAGCATGTTTGGCTGCTTTGTTCTAGGCACTAGATGTCAGTGTTTTACCTACATTTACAGATATTTCCAGTCACTGGGAATGCAGAAGTAACAACAAATAAATAAACAAATAAATAAATAAGCAGCAAAGCATCTGCAGTACCAAAGGCCCATCCGAACATCAGCAAACCTCTCCTTCTCTCAGGTGCCCAGAAGGAAGTTGACTTTCCCTTCTCCCCAATTTGTTTATGCCCAGAAGCATTAGTTTAAGGAGGAGCTGAGTCAAACACATGCACAATATCAAAAGCACCTGCCAAATATATATTATATCTATTTTATATAATATAAAATATTCCTGTGTTTGCTAAGAGCTGTTAACAGACCTGGCCAAGAAGTTTTAATATACAGAAGGAAACACAGACATTTCTTTGAAACCTCTTTTTCTACACTCATTTAATCCTGAAAAAGAAATTGGCAAAATGGTTTTTTTAGTTATTAGAAAAAGCTTCATCATTTTGTCAGAAGCAATTTTACGGAGTTCTTAAACTGCTTTTAAGTTCAGGAAACAAAATGAGATCAAACTAAAGGCATTGTCTTTGACATTTGGTTCATGTCATCATAAGAAAATCCCCCTCTTTTTTTTTTTCTTCAGCCTATCTATGCATTACAATCAAAAAATCCCAAATATGAGGTATCAACAGCAGCCCTATGGGCCTTGGGGAAAGGTAGGGGGTACCTTTGCTACAGAAAGGTCAGTGTTAATCTTGTTATGTCATTGTTGCAAGTGTTGCAAAGGTTACACAGATTCCAAGCAATTCTGGAATACTAGAAAATTTTACTTAAAGGAAGGGGATACACTCCTATTTGAAATAAAATCTAAGGCTAAGCTGCCCTCTAGAAGAATAAATCAAGGACCTTTGCACTTCAAATAATAACACAGACAAATACAATGCTACGTTTATGGCTTATTTTTAGACAAATCTTGGGCAAAATGAAAAAAAATGCAATTTTCTGGTCTATTTCCTGAAGAATAGGGAAAAAAATCCAAAACACAAACTAAAACCAAAATGAAACTGTCAGTGACCATCTAATGATCCATCCTATCCCATATGCTGAAAAGTCATTAATGTTGCCTCAGCTTGAAGAATCCGTGTGTTGAATCAGCGTGGTATGAACAAGCCAAAGCAAATCTAATCACTGTGGGCTACATTACATCCCACCATGTGCTGAGGAAGATTGGCATCTGCTACTCACAATTAGCATGGAGATTTTCAGGGAGACAAGCATCTGTCAGGCAGACCCAGGACCAACAGGATGGAGCACAAGCAAGAAACAGGAATTTCCTCCTTTTTTAACATGAAGCACAGCTTTTTATTTAAAAACCTTTCCACACACTGAAGTGGTTTCTCCAGAGAAAGAGATGGAAAGCATAGTGGATCACAGCTTCCAGAGCCCAGTGTCCCACTGTCACAACAGGTGACTGGAGATTGCTCCCAGATGTCTTTTGTCCTGCTGTTTTAACAGTGGCTCAGAGGGTCACTGTTAATTTAATTTTGAAGGAAAGATAGTACAAATTGACATTTCAGCTGTTGATTGGCTGGAAGCAATAAATCATACAATCAACCATAGAACAACTTTAAATCACAGGACAAAACATCAGTTTGTTGTGATGATATCCAGTCTGTAGAAAATCCAAGTTAGCTTACTGGGAGAGAAAGGAGAGCCAGCAGACAGACACTGCAAGACTTTAACAATCCACATCAAGTTTATTTTTAAACCATGTCAAGAGCACTTGTCAGCACTTGGTGTGTGGTTTGCCGTGGCCACAGCTCCTGACAACATCAAAAAATGCCCCATCAGAACAAAGTGGTGCCAAAGGAAAACCGTGACTGTGGCAGCCTTTCACTCCAAAGCACCCAAAACTGTCAAGTCTTGTGAATGAGACATCAGCCGTGAACTTTTGGTTTGCAGCTACTGCTACCAGGCAGAGCAGAAGGGATCTGTGTACTGCAGGCTATTTACTCCTCAAACTTTTCCTTATAGTCTGTCTAATTTGGGCAGGATACAACAGATGGGGAGCCCTCAGACATTCCACTGTTGTCCAAAGACATTGTTCATATAAAGGTCTCCTGTTTGGAGACAACAAAAGCATAGAATAAATAAGAGCTGGCAATACCTCTGTATCAGAGGCAAACAGAAATTAGTATTGCCCTGTGCAATAAAAGGTAAAACACAGGTGGATCAGCCCCAGGGTTTTACTCCCTCCTTTTAAAATGTTGTTCATGATTCAACTACAGTCTCCAACAGATAGAAAATAAATTCCTTCTTTCCTGGTGCCAGAGAATCAGTGACAGAACAATTACGGAGTCTCAAAGGGCTGATTCTCAATCACTCCATATAAAGCCATTAACAAGTGTAATTTCAGCCAACTGACATGTATTTGTTAGTGTTTTGCATTTATATTTTAGCTTTAAAGGTTTTCCCTCTTTCTGTCACATTCAACAGCATCTCTCTCTGTTGCAGAACTTCAGAAAGGGGTCACTTGCCATGGAGCCACACCTAAATAACTGGATGAGCAGCCAATTTTACATCTGCACAGTAGCAAAAGAGATAAATCTTCCTGTCATTAAACTTCTCTGCTGAAAAACCTCTCACCAATGACACAGAGAAGGCAGCAGAGGTAAAGGATGTTGAGCCAGGAATAGCTGGTGTGGGCTTTAAATGGGGTGGGAATAGGAAGGTTTACAAGTCTGAGGTAAAAGACAGTATTTGTAAAGTTTTTATTCACTTTATATTCAAACACAAATTGACTGCAAGAGTCTGAGATTTTGGTACTGCTTGGACTGGGGAAAGTTCTGTTCACTCCTTTATCACTCATCCTACTACTAGACCTTCATGTGATCATCTAAATTTTAAGACTTCTACAACATAAAGAATTTTATGCTGAAGCAGTTCTGTATTTGAGTAAATTTTCAACCCTTTGAATGGGGCAAAAGGAGGATACAGACACAAAAGTTTTGTTCAGGATTTGGAGCAGTATCCTGGTCCCATGCTCACACACCTGTATGCCCAAAGCAGCCCAGGAACCCAGCCCCAAAGCCTCCCTCCCTGGGAAGGATTAAAACCAACTCCTTAGATCATCATATTGTCATCCATTTATTCACTACAAACTATCATTTGTCAGCTGGAGGAGAGACATGGAGTTTCTCATTTCTTACATCACTGGCACTCAGAAATTCAGAGAACAAATTCAGCATGCTCTAGGCTCTCCATCTGGATCTGTAACTCTTCTGAGGAACAGGGAGCAGTCTTTGGTGCCTTTTGGTGTCTGGGGCAAGTAATTTGCAAACAGCCCTCAGAGCTACTCATCAGCATCCTACACTGAAGGCAAATGTTTTTGGGTTTCTGACAGGGTTTTGTCAGACAGTGTTGTGAACTACAATTAACTTTGAAGAAAACAGAATGGATAATTTCATGCCCCATTAAACTTGTAATTTCTTTCTGCATTTCTGGACTTGGACAACGTTGTTCCTATCCCTGCTCAGCCTTCCACAGCCTCGCACCCATTACTGCAGGGCAGAGTTAATTAAATACAAAAGTTCTCCTCGTCAAAGCACTGACTAAGGTGTGTCAAATCCTGTCTCTTCAGATGCCATAAATGGACCATTAAGTTATCTAAACACTTCCAGAAAGTGTTGCAACACACCAAAAATCATAGCAGTGTGAACAGGTACTCACAGTGCTCATATCCACAAGTTCCCAGTCCTGGAAGCCTTGCTAGTGTGTCTTTGTAAAATCTGGTTTGGGGTCGGTCCTCCCAACAGCATCAGGCCACAACACACTATGTCTTCCCATCTTTGAGGCTGACAAGACACAGAAGAGATGCCTGTATCCCCACAGCATGACCTTGTACCAGATAAGGAGATGCTTCATTTTCCACAGCTTCACCTTCTGAGCAGGCTGCCAGGAAAAGCCAGGTCATATCACCTCATCCACTTCTACTGAAGGGGCCCCTATGGAAGAGCAGAAGTTCAAGAGCTGAAGGACAGACATTTCAGAGGATCATATAAAAAAATAAAAGACAGAAATCTTTAGGTCACAGCCATGGAAAGGTCCCCCAGCTTAAAACTCACATAGCTAAGAATAAACAACCCCATCTGCTCCTTTTATCCACACATGACATTTCCCATCAGGTAATTTTCAAATCACTTTCACTTGCAACCAGATTCCAGTCAGGAGTCCTGGCCTTCCCTCTTCTCCTACCAGAGGTCTCACATCATCTTAGAATCGCAGGATCATTTAGGTCGAGAGAGACCCTTGAGATCATTGAGTCCAGCTCTGCCAGATCCACCACTAAACCATGTCTTCAAGTGCCACATCCACATATCTTGTTGCATGGTATATCAGTGAGGACCATGTGAAGCCTCCTGAAGTGTCACTGGGTTCCTTGTTTCACCCTGGGGAGAATGACACTTCAGGAGATTTAATGGGGAACAGAAAGTACCTCAGGTAGTGTAGAAAAAATGCCATTAAAAGAGAAGGCCAAAAGAAGAAACCCTTGAGAGTGTCATTTGCTGACATGGCAGAGTTGATGAGCAGCAAACCCAGCATCTTCAGCATGAGAAGTTTCAGTGGGAAGGCTGTCAACCCTGCTTTGGGCTCCCAGAAACTCTCCAGCAGTTCTGCAAGGGGTTCATGAGTGCTCCTGGCAGTAAGATATGGTTTTTCCAAATACCTGGAAGGGAAGGCAGCTTTAAGCATTTAAATCACATAAGCAGCTCTTAGCCTCTTTAGTGGGGAGCCTCTCCAGCAGGTGACTGAACCTGAGAAACTTCTCAATACTTACAGGGAAATGCCACATAAACTTCCTTCCCAGGAAAATGAATCCACCCCTTCTGTTTGCCAGAAAAATGCACAGTGAAGGGTGTTCTCCATAAGCCTTGTGCATTACTACTGAGTCAGTGAATGCCAGGGAATTTTACCAGCCTTTGGTCTTCAGCACATGTTTGGACCCAAAATTAGCCACAAATCTCCTCTGGTCCCAGTTTGCACTCAGCTCCCTTGGAAAAGAGGAGTCAGTAAGATTTCTGTGGTGGGTTTACAGCTTCTCCCACAGTTTCCCCTTTCACTTCATACAAACACCTTAAAACATATTTCTGAGCCTAAGAACAAACACTACATGTCCTGAGAGCAAAACCAATTCCTAGGATTTTCTGTTTGATAATGATGGCAACAGCTCCCCTGACTAAAGGCAGATGCTGGGGTTTTTTTGTTACTTCATGCCAACCTTGATCTTCTTTTACCCCTTGTGTAGAGAGGCATGTTAAGTGTGTGTTCACAGACTTGGGAATCACATCATGGTGCTTTCTCCTGCCACATCATTGAATTAGTCCTTAGTTGAAAATATTAATCAAGAAGTGCATCCTCACTGTAGTTGTTTATTTTCACACCTGAACAGCAAGTATCAATTCTGAAAGTTGTTTCAAGTCTCCTTTTTCATTTCCAGGGGTGATTTTCTAGCTCTTCTGGACCTTCTTTCCCACCCTCCTGGAGCTACAAGTATAAGCTTGACTGTCTCATCTCCTTCAGTGCAACCAGAATTCCATGTCCAAATCTTGACAGTCAAATTGAAAACCTTGTGTCCTCTTCCCACTCCCAAAGTCAACATGGCCCATGAAACCTCACAGAAGGAGCAACTGGGAATAAAATTCTATTTTGGGAGCCTCTCCCTCCATCTGCAATGGATAACTTACTTTGCCAGAATTTGAGAACAAATACTTTTCCCTCCAAGAGCATGGACACTCTTTGCAGGTAACAATATATGGACCTGCTGGCAGGCAGCCATATAAATGACTATTGTAGCAGCATCCCATACATCCCTTGTAATAGAGGCTCTCAAAAAGGCCTTGTTTTTTACATCATTTCCCACCATCTGACATAAGAATCATTCCTGATGCAATTTTAACTAAACTAATCTGTGTTTGGAGGCAATTTTCTCCCTCAAATATTTCTGGGTGTTCCATAACCAACACAAGCTGATCATTTGTCATTCTCCACCAGAGAAGGTCACTGATGACCATTTTAGCACCTCTCAGTACTTATCTCTCATGAGGAAATGATGGTCCTCATTGAAGGACTCATTACTCATTCAGTAAAAAAGTTTGCATTAAGTTTCCAAGACAAATTGTTCCAGAATATTGGTTTGCTATTAGATCACAGGAAAGAAATGATACCTAGTTGGACTTAGGAGCATGCTGAGGTGCTGAGGAGCAGAACAAGGCTGAGAGAAACCAGGTTCTCCTGGATCCAGAGCAGACAGAGCCATCGAGTTCATCTGCTAGGGTCTTTGTCACACCACTAGGAATCAGGCCTTGGAATATGTTCTGTTTTTTCTAAACACTACAGGTAACAAGAATAGACTAATTCAGGAATTCAGAATTACCTGGTTTATAGCAAGGAAACAGGGCATGGCTGGATTGGGTCCATGTTTCTACCCCCAGCCAAAGCATACCACACTCTTAGAGGAGAATTTCTTGCTTCACATCACTTGGTTGTCAAAAAGCACTAGAAAGGTTCCCAAGAGTGTTTGCTGTGGCCTCTACCTCTTGGGCCATTACGTGGCATGAACTCCTAGGAATGTGATTTCACATTGCTACCCAGACCTTTAGAGCTACTTTGAGACCTACCTAGTCCTCAAGAGACAGAATCCAGGTGGAGGGTTTGGAAGTATCTGCAGCAAAACTGACACAGAAGGCACAGCTGCTGCGTACAAGTGGGGATGGATCTGCCCCAGCCCAGATGGGATGGACATGGGATACAGCACATTCTGGTCTGCAGTCACAGCTCTGGCATCTCGTCTTAAAAAGCAATCATTTAAACCTCTGCAAAGCTCCTGCCATTGTATTTCAGCCAGTCACAGTAACTGGAAAAAGCTCCTAAATTATAGCCTGGCTGCCTCAGAATGATGGCATAACCCACCTTGATTTACAGCCCTGGAGCAGACCTGAAAGGTTTGATATTCTTGCAGTCCTTCAAACCTCACCATTAGAGACTCCATCCTATTTATCCTCTGAGTTTGTCTAGCAACTGGAAGAAGCAATTGGACTATTTCTGAGCATTATTTCATGTGGTGCAAGCAAAATTGGTCCTGCAGCTATAATCAGATTACTTCTTGCCAAGAACCTTGTGCAAAATCTCTATGGCACTTGCTGTTATTCCTACAAAATGTCCATTTTACTTCTTTTCCTGCATCCAAAAAAATCGGATAATTTTAAATATCCATGTTTAACTTGTATACATTTTTTTTTTCAGGATTTTAATAGGATTTTTCATCATCTGTAAAGCACCATGAAATGTAATATTCTCCCCAGAACAGGGTGTGAAATTTGTCTACCTTATCAGAAATTTGTGTACAACTTGCTTCTTGGATTAAGTGTTTGACTCACTGAATACCTTCTTCTCACATTTAGTGTGTCCAATTGGCATGTTAGGAAATACATGGGGGTTTTATCTTTTTCTAATGGTAGTCATAGCCTCAGAAGGGATACATGACATTTTATTGTGCATGCATATGTTTATACTTAATTGCTGGAGCTTAAGGGAGAACATTATGTCTAATTCCCTGCCTGAGTGGCTTTATTGAACTTGAGGCACAAGCACACAGCTACAATACTACCACATCTAGAAGCCTTGCATACAGCTCAAGATCCTGAAGATGGACAAACCAAGGGGAGAAATGGTTCCTGATCAAAGATTTCATGAACAGAGGAAAAATAAGAATGGTGACTGTCAAAGACTAGGAGTTCCACATCAGCATCCGTGACCAGGAGCAATGTCAGAGCACCAGTGATCTATAAACAGCAGATTTCCTCTCCCCAGAAGATCCCCAAATGCAAAATACTGGGTTATTTCTAGATCTGGGACTTGTTCTTCTGAAAGAGCAACTTCCAGAGGGAAAAAAATTAAAAATAAAAAAATGAGGAGAGAAAAAACCCCAAAAAACCCAAACCAAAGCAAAAAACAAAAACCCAAAGTGTGTTCTGATGATTGCCCCAGACTATAATTTAGTCTTGTGCCTGCAAGTTTCAGGTTTTGTTCAAGTGCATAATGGTGTGGTGGAATGCTTCCCAGCAGTCCCCCAAAACACTCTCTGTAATAACAGAGAGATCATTTATTGGAGAGAATGAGCAGATTCTTGCACAAGCCTCTTTTGTATGAAAAGTTTCAAGGATATGAAAGCAGCAATTATTCTCACCTTGGCTAATGCAATTAAGAAATTCTGAAGTACTGAGAAAACTGTGGAGCAATTAGACTTTGAACACCACCTAGCTATGAATTGTCATTTGCCAGAGAGCTATAGTTAGATCAAATGAAATTGGAGATGAGGGGAATGATCTGAAAGCAGTCAGAGGTAGTGGGGCAGGGCTTTCCCTGCAGTTTGTTACAGAGCTCAATACGAACTCTGTCAGCCATGACCATGACTTATAAGGAGTTGGCCAGTTTTTAGAGCACTAATCAGGTATTTTTTGCTAACTTAGGCAGAAGCATTACATTATTTTAGTGATAACTGCAGAATTAATTCTACTCCCAGTCCAAAGTTAAAATGTGTTAGGTAATAGGAAATGTGCTGCTTAACTTAAATCTCTCATGCTGACTGCAGCTTTTGTGAAAGAGGAGGCTGGTTCTAAAAAGAGGATCAAAATTTGAACAATTTGCCTTTGATATGAGGTAGAAGAAGCCCTTGCAGGATTACTGCAGCTTAAATGTCATCATTAAGAAACAAAGCAGTCCTTGGATAAGTGCTACCTTGACTTTAAGGCAAAGATGTGGACTGCAGAAGAGCACAGGCAAGAGCATGTGTCCAGAAAACAGGACCCAGGAGAAGAGAGTGGAAGATCAGATCAGAGGAAGAGGAGAAAATATAAAAATCACTTCTATTGACAGAAAGGAAATTATTTCTTCGAGATGCTCATGAATGGTGAAAGTATCCAGAGGCTTAAGCTTACATCAAGAA